CAAGCCTATGCTTGGGTTGTGCACGACTGCGATGGAAGTCCACGATTGCCCTGGGAAGCGTTGTTTCAAAAACCGATTGATAGCGACGCAGGCTTCGGAGGTGGACGACAGCTTGGTCAGAATGGGCACAATGCCGCCGTGAGCGTAGAGTCGCAGCATTTCGCTTGCTTTTTCCTTTTCTGGGGGGGCAAGGGCTTCCCCTCTGCCAGGTACTTGACCTTCCGCTCAATTCGATTGTCTGGACCTCAGCTTTTGCAGGAGTTCTCAGGGTCACTGCCGAATGTTTGCTGGGTTGTTAAGGGTTCCAAGCTCCCTCGCTCCTCCCCCGCTCGCTCTGCCCAGGTGACCTCTCGACTTTTTCGACTTCTGGCGCCTGGGCCTCGGTTCTGCGGCTTCCGTTGTCTTGGTCGGGGGTCCTTTGAGGTCATGCGAAATTTCATGAAGAAGGGCATCCCGTTCGGTGGGCTAGACGGATTCATCAAGAAGGCTGGGAAAGGTCATTGGACATGCGCTGCAAACCCGTCTTGTTGCTCTCGAGCCGAGGGTGAGCAGAATCGTGAAGATCAGGCTCGTCTTGGAGGGTTTCAAGTGGCAAAAATGTTACATGTGTTTGGGAGGCGCCGCGAGCTCCGATGAGCCCCAGGTCGCAACGGAGCTCACCTTCCGGCGCTGCTTGCGCTACCCGGTTCCCCGGCAGGCTGTGGGGAGCTCTCCTGCGGCGGTGGAGCCGAAGGCCTTGCGAGTAGCCCAGTTTTAGATGCTTGTGCTACATTGGGTTCCCGGCAGGACACTGGAAGCATCCCGACGGCGCCCGAGTATGTAGCATGTAAATTGCGCCCGGCAGGTCAAGGAGGATGCCGAGACGGTGGTCGAGCAGGCTGAGGCCAGGTAGCACACGCAGCATGCAAAACCCTGCGTGTTCGGTAGGTCCCGGCGAGTTCGGATGTGGCCGCGGAGGCCTTTTCTAGGTAGCACGTGTAGCGCGCAAAACCGTTGCGTTCGGCAGGTGACGACATCTTCGGATGCACCGCAGAGCAAGCAGACTGCGGAGGCTTTCGGTGTGGAGCCGAGCCAGGTCCGCTTCGGTGCCGCTCTTTGGGTTGCCTGGGGTCATTGGTCTCGCAGGCTGAGCCGGTCCAGGAGACCGCGCAGGAGACCGCGGCGCTTGCGTTGGGTGTAATCCCTTGACCAGGCTGATGAGCCGATGTCGGCGGAGACGGCGGAGCCGAACCAGGCCCGTTACGGCGCCGCTACTTGTGCCGCTTGCGGTCATTGGTCTCGCAGGCTGAGCCGGTCCAGGAGACCACGCAGCAAGAGGCCTGCGGAGGTAGCGCGTGTAGCGTGCAGCATTCTTCGGTTGGTAGGTTCCGGACACTTCGGATTCGGTTGCGATCGATCGATATGTCCCGGCATGTAGCATGTGTAGCATATGAAACCTCCATGTGGTCGGCAGGCGCCAGCTCCTCAGGATCAGCCGCGGAGCAGGAGACCGCGGAGCAGGTTGGGCCAGTTTCAGTGCATGCGTCAGTTGGGTGCGCAGCCCCTCCCTCGACCAGGCTGATGAGCTGATGTCACGGAGCCGGGGCAGAGCTCCAAAATGGAGGCTTGCCGATCATCACAACACCCTAGCCCTGCAACACATCCTTTGACAGCCCCGATGTGAAAGGCTTTGTGCATGGCTACCTTCGGACAGCTGGTAATCCTTACGAGATGGTCCAGATTCGGGCTACGCAGGGCTGTGGTCGCTCGGATGTTTTCGGCGCAGCTTTGATTGCGGCGGACGACGCCAGGGTTCAGCTGTTGGATGTGTTTCAGCTGCTGCGCCGGAACCGGATGAGCTAGAGCGTGACCTGGAGCGGCTGTACGATGAGGCCATGGAGGGCGAAGAAGAGGAGGGTTCCTTCGAGCAAGATACCTTCCTTGAAGACACGGTGGATGAGATCAGACTACGAATGATCAACGTGTCGTTTCGAGCCAAAAAGGAGAAACCTGAAGGTGCTGGAGGGTTGCCACAGAGTGGGTGAGGCTCTCGATTTGGCGCCTTCGAGGCATGCACCGCTTCATCGAAGAGGGGGCGCAAAGCACCTGGACTTGGCATTGGCCCTGACGATGACCGCGGCCCGTCGCAGATGCCAGCCCCTCCTGGTGACCGTTGGAGAAAGGTCGAGATGCACGCCACAGGCAAGGGTCCCTACGCGGCCCGGTTCCGTGGCGAAGCATCCTGGTGGAGCCCATCAACTACGACGTCCTCTTCAAGTTCTTGCAGAAGCGAGGACGCCTCCAGATCGATGTGAGGGCCACGCTTTACAGGTTGGGCCTTCGGGGTCAGGTGAGCAAAAGCATGATCACCGCCGTGCACTGCAATTCCCGAGGCGTCGCTCCGGCATCAAGGCCCTCTACAAGCCGGAAGATGCGGACAAGGACGCCAAGAAGAGGTCTTTCTGGTGAGCAGGACTCTCGGCGTACGAGGTCAAGGAGCTGGCCCGGTGCGAGTGGCCCTGGACTGCGCCAACTGTGCGGCCACGATGCAGCTGCAGAAGTGGGGCGGAGGTGGATTCCCTTCCTTGAAGCGCTGGGCGAGATGGGCGCCGGCCGCGACGTGGTGAAGAGGCTCTTCAACGCGGCGGCGGGCGGAAGCACCTTTCGGAGTTCGACCCCGAGCTTGCCGAGAAGGAGTTCGTCAAGGGCTTCCTGGAGGAGCAGAAGACGCTCCTCAAGAAAGTGGCCGCCGCCCTGATCAAGAAGCTCCGGAACCTGGGCAAGCCTTTCCCGGAGGCCACGTTGATGGAGGCGCTGTGCGAGCGGTTCGAGCGAGGCGATCGACAAGGCCATCGAGACGCTGCAAGAGGAGGACCTGGCCGATGTACAAAGCCCCGGTTTCTTTCAGG